AGACCACTTGAACCTATCGACATGTGATGTTTTTATGAAAGGATGCTTTTTGGTATTACATTTTTTCGAGGTGTACCTCAAATTTTCTGTGTATTCGTAATCGGACTAGACACAAATACCGCATATTAAAAGGCATTGTAATGTTTCTAAGCTGATCGCTGCACAGTGCAACAAGGCGCGCATCCTTTGTGACACTCTGAAACAAGGTTTAGATAAACCGTCGGGACGTCTTACCACGTAGAGACATCACAGATGGTACCCTCATTACTTCGACCAGATTTATACGCGGCTAAGGCTTTGTCCTCAAAGATTTTGGAACATTAAGTCATACAGGCCATTTAATCAAAGGGTCCGACCTGTCAAAAAATGTCCAACATTTGAAAGATGCTCCCTTGATCATGGCATTAATGAGATAAATCCCTTCCAACCCAAGCTTCACGGGCAGTTAGCTTTAAATAATGTTCGCGAGCACAATTTCCTCTGCCGTTCTTCTATTGCGGTCTCTGCAATTAAAAGTTCAGCAGACCGGCGGGCCTCAATCAAATCGCCATAGTAAATTCCGCTTAAACCAAGACGGGAGCGCTCGCTTAGCGTCGGCCGCTGTCGTGTCCGACTCCAGGCGCGAGGTTCGCCCCGCCGCCGGTCATCTCGCCGCGCGGGGCGGCTCCAGAGCGGACCGTCGACTCCGACGCCCCGCCGCGCGGACGGCCCGCAGTCCGGTAAATCGTCGATGTCGACGCCGGAAAGTCTGCCGCACGCCCTCGGCTCCCCCGCCGGCCGGCGGAGCCGACGCCCCGCGGGACGAGTCGCCGTAATTGGACCAACTCACCAAAAAGTGCGGCCAATCTAACTTGATCCTATTACTGCAGATTTCGCGGCATTCCGGGGGCGAGCCAGAAGGGGACGCCGATTGGAAAGGGTGGCAAGCGGCCGATCAAGGCCGATGATTCGCATTTTCAGACGCAGTTCTGGCCCGACCGCGGCAGAAACGGCGCGACGGCGGGCCTTCGACCGTTGAAAGTAATAAGAAAACTTCACGACTGGGTGCCGACAAGCGTGGTTCTCAGCACAGACAGCTTGCGACCACGCCGCCTGCCGAAACCGCCTTTTACGAGGCCGGCACGCTCACGAACACTCGATTCATCATGATACTGCGGTCGCTTTGCACGGCTCGGTCCCCCCGTGCCGCTCTGTGCAGCTGAGCGAGGGCGGAACGCGCGCGCCATGGAACTCCTGCCGTTAACCCCTGCGAACGGCGTGACGCCGGACCCGGCGCGGCACCGCCGCCGCCCGAGAAATAGATCCGCTTTTATGACGCCTGTTGGTGTCCGGGCTAATTTATGGGTTTATTTGGAGCCTGGAGAAGCGTGTGATTGATTTACGGGCGTCGCCCGTGGAAAGGCTCGGAAAGGGTCAGACGCGTCGGGGTCAGCGACTCGGGGTCGGCCGGCTCCGCGCCTTCGGGGAACGCGCGGCGATGGGAGACGCGGCACTACGTGAGACCGACGGACGGCGTGGCGACCGTTATCCTCCGATGTCGAGGGCTGGAATTTCATTTCTTGATCCGGAGGCTGCCGTTTATCTCAATCACTTGCAGCGGCCCTCTGGTTAACACATTTCAGTCGGCATTATTCTATTGGCGACGCTAATCTGCGATGTTAATATAGGTAGAAGGAATCCTAATAAATTCATTTCATTGGTTTTGCATAGGCTTCGCGGCCATTTGTTACCTGGGGGCGTGCACCCATTAATCACTTGCGCAATTAACATATTGGTAAGATATAAACACCGCCTAAAGCAAACACCAACACTATGACTGAGCAGCGCCCCGCCTGAAAAGGGGCGGCACCAGCCCCGCACCAAGAGACGCCACGCGGAGCTTATCCGGCTGCCCACGCGCTGCGCCTCGGATGCGCTCCAAGACTCCCTGAGTCATCTCCGGTCTGTCCCCCTACACAGAGCGCGGGGAGGGGGGGGGGGAGGAGCGCCGGCACGACGTTATTGCGGACTCAGACGGCCAGACACCGTTTTGGTGAGGGGGGGGGGGGGAGGGGGAGACTGGCCGAGAGCCTCCGTCGAGAGGAGGAAGCATGGTGTTTTGGTGCCAAGCGACGAGCTCCCGACCAGCGCCGGCCGAAGGTTAATCCGGCCCGGCCGTCACCGCCAGGCCACCCGGCTTGAATTGGCCGCCGCCGCCGCCGCCGCCGTCGCCGCCGTCGCCCACGCGGACTCCTCCGAAACGCGAAACAGTCTGGCCAACTTGCCCCTGTCCACTCAATCTACCACGGCGCTGAGCCTTTGTTTTGAACGAGTCCACATAACACGTCAGCCGGTGACCGGCCCGCTTTGAGCGACGAGGCGGGCCATCCGTTTCTGCCGGCGGGCCAACTTTTCAATTTGTCGTTGCGCCCGCCCGGCGTGACGCGCGCGGCTAAGTTCTCCGTTCCGATCGACGAGTTAACAATTCATCGGCAACGACGTCTCCGCGCCATCGATCGGACGAGCCGCCGCCGCGCGTCCCGGCCGGCCGCCGCCTCAGCGGTGGCCGAGCAATGATTGCGCGTGGATCGGGGGGGGGGGGGGGGAGAGACAGGGGCGGATTCAGTTGCTCCGATTGAGGAGGCAGCGCTGGTTAAAGGTGGGCTGTAGAGGCCAGGTTTTTTCGAAATCGCGACAAAAGCAAGCGCGTGGATTCAAGTCGGTTTTCTGTCTCTGCACAGTAGCCACAGGTACCATGTTAAAATTAAAAAGGTATGGAGAGGGCCACTCCTAAAATATGGGACGCTCCTCCGCCCATGGCAGGTTCCTCTTAAGTTTCGACGTAAATGTTCATCAGAGTTGGAGAGGAGGATGGGGCGGAATACGCCCCTGGGCGACAGAGAGAGACAATGGACTAGGGAAGCCGGCAAGCATAGGTAAGGAGACATTAAATGCAGTGGGAATGGCCGGCACAGTAAGAGACCAAAACGCCTCCATCTGCGACAGCACCACATCTGACATGCGCTACAAGCCATGCAGGGCTGTGACAAAAGACAAACAATGCAGGGAAGCTGGGGTTGATGCTCTGACGGCTTACGAGATGTCCGGAGAGATTACAGCTTGCAAAACGGGTCCCACTGCATGCAGTAGCAACTGTGTGGCCATTTCCCACACGTCACCGTGTACGGGTAAAGGGATTCGCTCATGAATATGCATCGCAGCAGGATACTTTTGCAATGGAATGCGTGCTGTAGCCGCCGATGTACGACAAGAAATCCAATGTAACCTAGGAAATTGAGCGCTAATATCTAAGTTGGCAGTGGTGATGCTCAGAGATGGTTCAAAGTCAGACATCTACAAACTTCCCTGATGTATCGCGAGGATGCTCTTACATTTCGTTGCTCGGCCTAGGCACGATGTCCATTGTATTAAAGAAATTAGGCCGACTGAGCAAACTGAGTTTGAGTTTTTGTCGTTAGAACGGGAAGAAAATCGTGGCTCGAATAAGGAGTTTTGTCACTATACGGTACTCGTCGGTCAAGCCTCCAAACAAACGCCAAAATTTCAGAATTTTCACGGCCAAACGAGCAGAGCTACAGTAGAGGTTTTCAGGAAGTGGTGGGGAGCGGCTCTCACTGAGCGCTCATAAGAAACCAAACAAGATGTCTATGGGGGTAATCTCTTTTAATGCTGGCCTAAGGACCAACCGACCGACCCCCAGTCCAACCCTGGCTGCGCCCTTGGTAAGTAAAGATAAAGCTGACTAATTGTGCATTGTGCATGCCTTCTTTTGCGGAGAACTGAGCTCGTTGAACATGTTGAACACGTCCATAACGGCAAAGGGTCTGAATGGTAAGCGTTCGCGAGCGTTCACCGTAATTTTAATCAGTGAGCATCGACCCACGCAACTAAAACCCGCACCACCATTCTTATTACTATCATTATTTGCCACTTCTTACAGACTTTATTCTAGTGAATCAGCAATCCTAAGGGAGCCTCATTGACTAGCACTGTTCGATTCCCAGTCAGTGGGTCCGTGCGTGTCATTTCGCAGTTCCCATTGATCGATGGTGAGCGCCGGCCCGCCGTGCAGCACCTCCCCCGCCATCGATCACGTGTGAACGCTCGCACAGTCGTGCGATTCCCGAAGCGCATGACTTCGTGCGCGTTTTGCCCCGCCGATGCGTGCAAATCGTTACGAAACCGATTCGGACCTGAGCCCGCGGACCATTGGCTCGTAAACCGGGCACGGCGCGACTCCCATGCAAGTTGAAATCACGTCACAATCGGCCGGCGGCCGCAAGCTCGCTGGGAATATTCCAGCTCGGCTTTCACCAGCGGCCGGCCGCTTCGCCCGCGGCGCCGCGGCCATCCCGGCGGGACAGGCGGCGGCGCGGCCATCATGGCGCGGCGCCGCCGCCGCCGGGCCGCGTTGTTGACCGGTTTCATCGCGGTTTGATCAGACCTGGGGAGGACGCCGCGCCGGAGGGGAGAGCGGAGAGGGAGGGAGAGAGAGGGAGAGCGGGAGGGGAGGGGAGAGCGCTCGTCGCCGGCGCCCGCGGCGGGCGGATGCGGTGGCTCAGAGAAGCATGAAGCGACCCGAGATTTATGGACTCGGCCCGTCGCAGCCAACAATGGCGATCCTCCGCGCCGCCGGGGGGAGGGGGCCGCCGCGGAGGGGGCGCCGGCGCGCGAGGGTAGGGGAGCGCGGCGGGGCGCCGCCAAGATGGCCGACAGCGGACGAAATTGATTCCTTCGAGTATGCAAGCTGTATTGTTTTTCGGCGGCGGCGCGCCGCCCAGATTGAGACGTTGCGGGTGGCGCGCGGCTCGGCTCCGCGTCGGCTGCACCACTCGAGCCGGGACGCGCGTCGGGCCGCGGCTCGGCGCTCAGGTCGCCGTCAGCGCCCGGCTCCCACCGTAACTTGCGGCAGGTCTGTCGGCGGCCGGCGTTGCAGACTGGGTCGCGCTGCACTGGCTGCAACGCCGCCGCCGAGCCGCGCCGCGCGGCAGCTGCAACGCTCAAATGTTGCAGGCGGTCGACCTTGACATCTGGCGGTCGAGAACGGCGGCGCTCTCTTTGAAACGCTCCGAGTCGCGGCACTGGGGCTCCTCCCACACGAGAACAGAGGAGGCCTGCGCCGCGGGGCACGCCGCACTCTCCAGACGCGGATAACCAGCCTCCTGACGTGGCCCGCCTGTAATTTATGCGCGGTGCCGCGCCGCCACATCAGATAAGAACGAATGCAAACCTTCCATTAAAAATTGTAAAATTGAACGGTGCCCGTCAGGCAGCTTGCTCGGGCGGTGCGATACGCATACAGATAGCTAGAGACAGAGGGCAAGGCGGAGTCAATAACAAAGCCGGTGAAACCTACATAAATTTACCGCTCCCAATGTCATTGGCTGTACGGTTCCAGGGCCGCGCGACTCCGTCCCATTTGTTCGACGCGAACCCAGTTACTTCCATCGCCGGTCTCCAGATGCATCACTTGGCTGGTCGCAGAGCGCTTGTTTCAATCGCTACCACACACGTACAGCCGCGCCTGACTGCAGCCAAGTCAGAGGCAGCCAGGCAGAGCACCAGGAAATGTACCGGAGCACATCAGGACGCGGACACTGCTCCATCCGCTCTATCGCAGCCGGGCTCTTTCCGCCGTGCCTCTGTCCGTCCTCTCGTCCCGACGCCGGCGGCCCCGTGCTCTCGGCGCGCCCGGGTCCGTTCTCGGCGGGTTACGCCGGCTCGTTCTCACGGCGGGTGTAATCGGGACTTGCACGGCCGGCGGCGATCGTCGTTCCGAGAATTTACGAGCGGGCCGCTGGCCGCGAAAGGTCGGTCGCCGCCGATGGAAACATCAAACGGTACGTCACGTGCCGTTCATCACCTGGCTCGTCGGGACCGGAGCCGCGCCGACTTCGCCGCGCGGGACGCGGCGAAGTCGGCGCGGCTGCCAGCTGGCCCGCACCGCCAGGTCGTAAAGTCGGGGTTGTGCTCGGCCTACTACAACGGATGGATTTAGATGAGCGCTTATGTAAATAGTTGTAAGGTCTGGGCGCGGGCGAAACGCCGTGAGTAAATGGGCGATTGGCCGAATGAAGCTGTCACAGGCGGTGACGCTGAATGGGGTAATGGCCAGGTGGGCACAGACGTCGGCGCTGTAACAGTGTGTACACGACGGTCGTAATGCTCACCTGGCTGGCACGGACACATTTGCGAGGCAGATCATGGCAACATATCTCGCCGATGTAAGCTTACCTGAAAAGAAACAGAGAAGCGTTAGCACGTATCGCTTTACGATGCACACGATAAATTTGTATCTGTCCCTGAGTTACGGACATCAAATTTTTCACACCTTCTTAGCATAATAAGTCTACAACTTTCAGTAAGCGTATCGGTATGAAGATTTTGATCTTGGGTTTGTAACATACCGGCACAGATGCAAGCCAACAGGATTCACGACGTGCCGAACACTGTATTAGTCCAAAGGTCAATATATGCATTCCTGTAATGTATTCCTGTAAGTTTGCATTCAGTGTAATGTCCTGCCCCAATAAAAGGCAGGGAGACGACAGGGAGACACGGCGCCTGAGTGTAAGAAGGCGGATGACACGAGTTTTCAGTGCAAAGGAAGTGGGGGAAGTTGGTTTTATTTAGGGCAGGTTCGAAAACTGCAATTGTAATCCAGAAGTCGCTAGCTGCTTCCAATGCTATGGATCATTGTCGAACAACTATGTACTCATATTGCTGTGCTTATGCTGGCACACACTCTGCCGTGAATAGAATGGGAAATTTACCTGATAGTGACAGAGTTCAAGCGCCAGTGTTCAGCCCATTCGTTTAAATCTCCACTACGATGCCGGGAAAAGAGTCCCCGGATACCGACCGCTGCAGCTTCCAGTGTTTGGCCCCCTACACGGAACGCACTCCATTCGGTCATGCGACAGACACTGGACTGTTTGGTGTGTGTTCCGCGGACTGCTAGCACCAGACGACATTTCATACCAACACCACTGGTGGTCACTGATCAGCAACGGCGTTCAGTCCTTTCTTGCTTTCTGGGTATACGACCCCTATGATGAAGATGCTACTCAGATCTGCGATGGTCCGCCAGATCCGCCACACGCCATCAAAGAGGCCAAGAATGAGCTGGCAACGCCATAATCCCAATTTATCTGTCAGTGTAGTCCAGTGTAGCAATAAAGGCTCTTGAAAACGCTTGCCGTCTGCGTTGTTCGCCATGGCCCATTGCGCACTGACATCAATTCCAACGGACGCAATTTTCGATACCAACATCAAAAGGGATTTGAGAGCTACCCTCCGTATAGAACTAGCGTCAAATTCACGCAGGCCCTATTCAGAACCACCGAGATCGCAGAGTCAAAGCTCAGACGCTACTAACCGGAACATTGGCTCGAGCCGGTTGACAAAACGAACAACCAGGCCGCACGAGCAGCCGGAATGGGGCGCGCACAAACCAGGTTAGGCGCAGGGCAAGACGATTCAGGTCTTTGTGACCTGCTCATGTGAATATGTCTACGAAACAAAGCTCCGATTGTTGTAAAACGCTCATGACTCACTTTGACGAGTTGACACGTGGAAGCGATTGGTGCACACAACCGAAGCTGCTTCAGGTTTGACCACGACTGAATGCAGCCAGAGGATGAGCAAAGGAAAACCGATAAACAGGTATGTATATTTCGGGGTAGCGCATTAATGATAACCCCACCGATAACCCCACCATGCTCAGCGCGACATGGGGCTGAAATTTAGGGGATTAAAAGGTGGCAAACTGATGCATTTGCGGTGTGCTTTGTCCTATAGGCAACCGCCAGGTATTTAATTACATGAAAGCTTCCCACGAATTGCCAGGTAGATTAATGCAATGATATGCATTCAACATAAATGATGCATGGTCTCCGCAAACGAAAACAATTCACCTACCAGCTGCCACATTAAATTTTGGGCGTGGTCTGCCGACTGCTTGCTTTGTTCCTTTGCATACGATCGGTAGGAAGTAACCACATTTGCAAACTTAACTTCGTTGTTATATGATCTCGCACAACACACATTTTAGGCATAACGCACGATGAATTTGTCTAACTAGCAGAATGCTTAGGCGGGACCTTGGCAAGCACAGTGCGGTGCAAAATGCATAACAATGTCTGGACTAGCTCAGTACCGCATTCGTCTGCGTCTAGACGGTGGATACTGGTGTTTAGGTGGCCGAGCGCTGTGTGTGCTGTCTGCAGCCTGAGCGTATCGAACGCCAGCGTTGAAAGAAAGAGGGTTACAAAGCTGAAGGCAATATCTATTGGGCTTTCGCAGTCTGGAGTCAGGTATTGGCCGGGGGTTTGCTGCAGTTACAATTCGTCGTTCTTTTGCGGCTTAACGCCTTCAGGCGAAAGGCAATGGCTGCTGTGTAGTTTTGTTTTAGTCCATGCGTTGCATGCAACGGTGACAATAAAGCAGCTCATAACTGGCTTAGGCTATGCGAAAGACAGTACATATTCACAGGTAAATTACGACAACCGCGACATTTTCTTGCTGTATTTTGGAATCACCTTTGCCGACTTTGGAACCATGTTTTTATCCGTATTAGCTTAGACTGTATGCATGGGTAAATTTAACAACTTCGTTGGGATATCTAAACTTTCTAGACCAGTCTCGCTATTCAGTGGCTCAAAACGACCACACCCACCATAAGATAGGTGGTATGGTCAAATGGTGGGATCGGACTTTTGAAATGACGTTTCTGAATGTAGTTTATGACGCTCAGGAACGAAAAGGGCGGTGGACGACATCTCATCAACGTGGTTGTTTGTCTATGAGGAACATGATATTACCAGCCTGCTTCAGAAACACATAACAGCATTATATGTTATATGTTTCCCACACTTATCAGGAATACCAGGGCAGTCGAGGCATATTTGTGCCTGCGGGAATGCATGCACATCCATTTCAGGGTCAAAGTTGACATCTGGTTAAGACTTTCTCGCGCTGTTTTGCTTACTTTGCTTTGGTTTGGCTGAAAGTACAAGCCACGGTAAATAATCACATTTGTCGACATCTACAACGTCTAAAGATAGGTGATAGATTCAGGAGTGTCGAAAGGAAACGGGATAAAACCGGAATGATTAGTTACTTGGTTTTGATAATATAAACACACGTTGTCTTTATGTTTTAATCATGAGCCCGTATAGATAGTAAGGAAACCTCCGCCCCTATTTGTGCCAGTATTTGAAATAGGCGTGATCTATATTTGGGTCAATGGCAACGCACCTAAGACTTGCAGTAGGACACATATGATGTTCCTCTATTTATCTGAGTTATCAAAGGAAGGCGTATACTGTCTCACTTATGTATTACATCACTTCCTTCCCGACACATATTGCTAAATGCACGTAATACAATGTGAAAATACGGCAAATACTAGTGGGGCACAACAACTGAAATAGCTGTAAAAAACTCCGAAGAAAATAATTGTGCAAGCTTTGGGGCATGATTCCGAATTGTTGGTGTATATGCATTGCACACATCTCTAAAATATTGTCTTTGTCTGAACTAATTGTATCCGCAGCGATAAAGCAAGGAAACCATAATCATCTTCTTCAAGAGAAAAAATAAAATGAACGAGCTGCGACTTAGGTACTTATTACACGTTATCATATAATCTGCGGTCCTCAGCTGGTAGCGCAAGCTAGGTATCCAAACGCCCTCTCGCATTGTTGCTGGATACCCCCTGTCACTTTGCATGTAACACAACCGGCAGGTCGCGAGCCTTGATGCAAATAACCTTGATATCACTCACGACCATTAAGCATCGGGCTGGCGTTGTGCATCGATCACCAAAAGGACGTCCCAGACAGCAAGCTCGCGAAGATATCTGGAAGTGACATAACAGCCACGGCAGACGGAACGCACAGGACTTAGTTATCGGATGTGCCAGCACTGCTTGACAACGCTCGAGGCAATCATCGTCTGTCTAAATATTTTCCATATTGAGTCAATTCAGTGCGTTTTCAAGATAGTTTATCAGCTGCATGGGTCATATATGAGCTGTCGGAGACATTTATAAGCCGCCTAATTTTCTTGCACTTACTTGCAACATACGAACAATAGGATAGAAGTCAAGCAC